TCCCCCTAGCTTAGTGTCATCTGCAAACTTGCTGAGGGTGCAATCCATCCCCTCATCCAGGTCATTAACAACGATGTTGAACAAAACAGATCCAAGAACAGATCCTTGGGGCACTCCACTAGAAACCGACCGCCAACCTGACATCGAGCCGTTGATCACTACTCATTGGGTCTAACAGTCTTGCCAGATTGCTATCCATCTTATAGTCCTTTTATCCAATCCATACTCCCTTAATTTGCTGGCAAGAATATTGTGGGAGACCATATCAAAAGCTTTGCTAAAGTTAAGGTACATCACATCCACTGATTTTCCCATATCCACAGAGTCAGTTACCTCATCATAGAAGCTAATCAGATTTGTCAGACACGACCTGCCCTTCGTAAATACATGTTGCTTATTCCTGATCACTTTCCCCTCTTCCAAGCCCCTCTTTCAAGTCCATGATTTTTCCGGGGACTGAAGTAAGGCCAAAAAGTATGGGCCAGAAAGTTTGCCTAGCCCTGCCCAGAGCTGGGGGTAGAATCCAGAAGTCCTGACTCCTAGATCCTGCCCCTCTGCTCTAACCACTAGACCACACTCCTCATCCCAAGCAACAGATAGAACCCAGGAGTTCTGTCTCCCTACCCCCCACCCGAAGGTTACGTCTACACTACAAGGTTTTTGCGCAAAAACAGCCATTTTTGCACAAGAACCGCGGAATGTCCACACCTCAAGTGCACTTTTGCACAAGTAAAGCATCAGTAAAATGGCAGAACAGAGGGCTTTTTGTGGTGTAGGTAAACCTCCTTCTACGAGGCATAACTCCTTTTTGTGCTACAGCTGTTGCGCAAAAAAGTGTGTGTGGTGTGGACGCTCCGCAGGGGTTTCTTGCGCAAATAGAGCCTATCCGAAAAAGCACAGGAGCTCTGATGGACTTCTGTGAATGGCCATCAGGGCTTTCTTGCGCAAGAGCGTCCATGCAGCGTGCACGCTCTCTTGTACAAAAGCACATTGCAATAGCGATGCGCTTTGAGGTGTGGACGTGCTTTCACGCAAGAAGTTTTTGCACAAGAACTCTTCCGCAAAACACTTCTTGCACAAAAACCCTGCAGTGTAGACGTAGCCACACGGAGCTGGGGACAGAACTCCGGTGTCGGAGCATGCGCTACTCCTTTTCTTAGGCATCCTGCTCCACAGGTCGGCAGATGAAGCTGCTTCAACATCTGATGGTGTCACCCCTGTCTGGGGCTCAACCGTCCAGCATCCATCATCTCTGCCCTGCCTCTGGGGAACCACCCTGCTAGCAGAGGGCAGAAGCCCTGTGGGCCGGGCACGCAGACTGCCACCGGGCCATCCATCAAGTGCCTACAGTCAATATGGGGGAGCAGCGGGCAACCCCGATGGCACAGCCAAGTCTCCCCATTCCCCGAAAGACTCCTGGCCCCAGCAAGGTGGCTATGACCAGGGTTCCCACTAACTTTGTATGTCCATGTGAGGCATGACTTTAATTATGTGCACCAATAGAGAGGTGACATGAGACACAATAAAAGTCATTCCGCACACAGTGCGTGGCAGGGGTGGCGCTGAGGGACTGGGATGTTGGAGGGAAGTCAGGGCTCAGGCAGAGGGGTGGGGTGAAGGCTCAGGCTGGGGATGTGAGTTTTGGGGTGTGGCTAGGATGAGGGTTTCAGGCTGCAGCTTGGCCCCTGGAGACAGGACTAGCCCAAGCAGCTTGGGGCCAGGTGAGAGGCACCTCGCCACAATTGCCGCAGCTCCAGCGGGCACAGCCGGGAAGGGGTGCCTAACCCCAGCTGGGGCAGGTCTGGGCTAGGCTGCATGGGGGCCAGAGAAGGGGCGCCTGTCCCCCGAGTCACAGCAGCTCTGGGTCAGCTCTGGGTTGGGCACCATTGCCGGAGGAGAGTCCCCAGCTGCTGCAGCCAGGGAAGAAAGATTTCTTTCCCAGCCACAGCAGCTGCATGCTGGGGCCGGCGGGCAGAGACAGCGCTCTTTGCAGCCACCCTGAGCCCAGGCAGCTGCACGGCTGCCTGGCCATGCAGCTTAGAGGGGACAGGCTACAACTGCCAGTGGCACGGGTCACAAGCTACTGTGGGGGAGGCATCCCTGCTGCCGTCTCTTTCCCCACCCACCCACCGGAGCAACCTCTGCTGGGCCAAACCCAAGCATGCAGCTTTGAACAAAGCTTTCCCAGAGCAGCAAAGCCCCAAGGAACGCTGCACACAAGCCCTCTTCTTGCTAGGGCCCACAGAGAGGGGGCATGGCTTGGGGGAAGACACCCCCAGCCAGCAGCCACTATTTTTAGATCCAGTGCCCCCAAGTGTCTGGATCAAGGACTCATGCCTCTCTTGGTCTGATACAGCTGCCAGCCCACCCGTGTTGATGGATGGGTGGCCGCAGCACCCGCACGAGGCAGGGAAACATTGCTATCCCACAGGCAAACCGAGGCCTCAAGCAAATCAGCAGCAGAGGCAGTAACTGGCCCCAGGTTTCCCATGTTCCAGGCCAGCCTGCCTCCCCCTTGCTGTTGAACTGGGACTCCTAGACTAGCAGGAGCTGGGGTTGTTGGGCCACAGTGACCAGGAAGGGGCCTGTTGTTCTTCCCTGGCAATACACAACCACACGCATTGTTCTTCTCTGCTCTGCAAATCTGCCAGGGTCCACCCCTGCCTGGTTACAGCCTCACAGGAGCATCTCAGCTTCATGCTTAGACTTTTATGGACACAAATCTCAGATCCTCCTGCTCCACAAGCCCAGCCCTGTCCCTATCCCTCCACGCTGCTCCGTCTACGCTGCATGTAGTAGAGGGTTTATGACACACAGCAGGGCAGCTCCTATTGTATCCACTGGAGTGTAGGGCTGAAATGCACTCAAGGATACAGACTGCACTGCTGCTGCCTTCGACTAGCTGGAATCGCAATGGCTCTGCTGTGGGTCATAGACCCCCTATACTGCTACTGGAGATTTTCCTTGTACTCTCAGCAGCTTTCCCTGAGATTTGGCCTTCATTTTGCTTTGCCTTGTCTCCTCCTGTCAGTGCTAGTGGCAGATATTAGGGCTGCTGTAAGCCCCTTTAGACACATTCCTGAACAGATGTCAAACCTCCTCCCCTTGTTCCAAATTTCAGTTATGCTTTATATACATAGACATCTGTTTTCCGTGGGCTGAGACCTTACACTGCTGCTGCAAAATCCCTCCATCTTCACGGCAAAATCCTCATCCCCACCTCCAGTTGAAGACTCTGCAAGTGAATCCCCACACAAGATGGCAATACAGTGTGCTGTGTAGCTGCAGGGCTGCAAGAGGGGAAGGATTGCAGTTTGCTGAGTTCAGCACCCGCCGTGCATGGCAGAGATCTGAATGGCGAGGGCCTGAATTCTCTGGCTGGGCAATCAGCAAGGCACTGCAGTCAGCATGCCAGTGAAGAGCCCAAACGAAGTGGAGTGATTCCATTGTGTGCAGGGTGGACGCAGCACCCCTGAAATCGAGATCTGCTCTGAGTTGCGACAGTGTACTGACCGCAGTGGACTGGTTCCACTGACAGCGCAGTGCATAGCTACTGAAATCAGCCCACTGCAGTGGAGATCTGCACTGAATTGCAATGACTGCAGTGCAGGGGGGTGATTTCACCAGCTCTCCATCCCAGTAGAGTTCTGCATTGAGTTGCTCTGGTATACTGATTGCAGTGGACTGATTTCCCTGATTGCATAGTCAGTGAAATCAGCCCACTGCAATCAAGATCTCTGCACCGACCTGCAGTGTAACTACTGAGTCATCCCCATATCACTTCAGAGAACATGTAAGGGAGGTCTGCAGCTGATTTCACTGCGTTGATTCCAGCTGAACATGCAACAGGGATGGAATGGAAAAGTGCCTCCTGGTGCAATTCTCACTGATGTCAGTGCCAGCACCATCCTCTTACACTAGGGCTGGATTTGACCCATGCCCGGGTCTGATTAACAGAGGTGCTGAATACCTGGACTGCCCGTTGATTTCACCTTGGGCTGGGAGTACCCAGCAATTCTGGAGTCAGGTTTTGGGGCATGATGAATTACACTGATGTCTGTGGCGAGATCTGGAAATCCTCACTAAATTACTAGCGACTGCCGCACTGAGTTTCCAGTGAGTGCAATGCACCCGCTGAACTGTGCGGATTTCAGAAATCCTGCGCTGACGCGCCAGTGATGGCAGGGCCTCCGCTGGTTTCAGAAATCACGCGCCAGATTGCTGCCACTGTGCAGCCACTGAACTGCGCCGATTTCTGAAACCCTGCGCTGACGTGCCAGGGATTGCAGAAACTGAGTGCCCCGTGGGCAAAGGCTACAGCAGGGGTGGGCAATAATTTTTGCCCGGGGGGGCCACTTCAAAAATTTTTGAAGTAGCTCTGGGCCACCCCAGAAGGGGTGGGGCTACCCACCCCCCAGACCATGATTGGTGTGGGGGTGAGGGATCCCCTTTGTCCCCCCTTCCTACTAGGCACCCATGCCCTGGAAGAGACTTGGCACGCTCCCCCACTCCCAGGCCAACCAGGGCCTGGCGGCAGGAGAGCACGGGAAGCCTCCTCCCGCCCTAGGAGGAGCACGTGGCACTTTGAAGTGATGCGGGCTCCTCACAGGGCTGGGGCGGGGTGAAGGAAGCTTCACGCAGCTCCCACACCCCACTCAGACCCTGATTGTGCTGGGGACGGGGGAGCATGGGAAGCCTCCTCCGCTCTCCGCTTCCCCCGCCCTGCGAGCAGCACTTCAAAGCACTCATTGGGCTGGGGGCGGAGGAGCAGCAGGGCCTCCGCGGGCCAGATCCATCCACTTGGCGGGCCAGATCCGGCCCACGGAGGCCCCTTTGCCCACCCCCGGGCTACAGCCTCCCTGCTGATTCCAGACACCCTGCTCTGAATCACTAGACTCCTGCGTTGCACCAGTCTGGGGTTGCCAGGCCGATTCCGGCGAGCACGGACCCCGCAAGGGCCGAACGGGGCCCGGCCCCCCACGAGATGCCAGCTCACTTACTTCTCCGTCTTCTTCCTGCAGCCGGCGTCCCCGCTGACATCCAGCAGCTTCCGCTTGCAATTGAACTTGTCTCGGAGGCTGTCGCTGCCAAACCTGGGCTCCTTGTTGGGCACCTTGAATCGCCCCGGCGCAATGAGGAACCCTTCCCTCTCCTTCAGGTTGTTGATGGTGTCCAGGTCATTGCGGACCGGGCCCTTCACCTGCTTGCGGCCCTGCCTCATCTGCCGGAGCACTGCCAGGGCAGAGCACAG